AAAAAAAAAAAAAAGACAACAACCATTTTCATTGATCCTTATTACAAAAATAAAATTCGAGCGATATTTTTTTTTTTATACAATTTCACATGTCAACATATCCCAATGTAAAAGCTTTACAAACTTCCATATGAGTCGGAATCCTTCCTAACTTTTTGGTCTAAAATTATAACAAGATAAAAATTATTTATATAAAATGAATAAGCATATTTGTCCAAATAAAAAAGAACATCTTCAATAAAAAAAAACATATAATAATAACTTTTTCATCTGTCGTGCATATTCATATGCAGACTTAGCAGAACCTCCAGTGTGGAAAGACATTCCCGATCATCCCCGATCCTAGATCACTCACCTCACTTTTATGGTGAGCAGACCTCTTCTAACCATTTAATTGAAAATTAGATGTATTCTACTCCTTCCAAAATGAATCTCAAATTGTCCACAAAGTCAGGTTTCTTATCCACTTTCATCAATCTCCACAAAAAATCAGAATACTTTGCCCCGGTATATCGTGACCAAACATCATGAACCCTTTGCTCCATTTTGGATGGAAATGTGAATGAATTGTATAATTAAGTAAAATGTATTTAACATTCGTTAACTTTTTCTCTCGCTTAGATTTTTCCCTAATCTCTCTATGTCTAAACTTATTTTTTCTATCTCGTCTTCCCCAATGGATCCGTCGGGCTCCTTGACTGTGTTTGATTCCTGGCTGCGTGGCTCTATCCCAATTTTGTGTCAGGGCTTGTCTTTTCGCGTGGAGGAGATGGATGGCCGGTCCCAAGAGGATCTCGCCGTTTCTTCTTGGTTCCTTCTTGGGATGGTGGTCATCAGATTCCCCTGCATCAAGGCAGTGTCGGGCTTTGGTGTTTCTACGAGGGAGGGTTGTGGTTGCGGCATTTTTTTGATGTCACGTTTCAATTCAAAATTATATGACTGTATAGTGGCAATATCACTTCAAGAAAATTTCTTTTTCAAGAGCATATAACATAGTTGAACATCTTCCACATTCATCACACTTAATCCTCAAAATGATCCCTCTTATTTGTCTCTCAACTCTCCTTCTACTACTCTTATTATACCTTCTCCACCCAAATAGGAGTCCAACAACAAAACTCATTCCACCGGGCCCACCAAGCCTCCTCTAATCGACAACATGCACCAACAAGTCGCTGCAAAAAAGTCGCACGTCTACCTATGGCGCCTCTCCAAGAAATACGGGCCCATCTTGCGCATGAATGTTGGCCCGAAGCCCTTGATCGTAATTTCCTCAGCGATATTTTTTGTTGATACAATTTCACATGTCAACATATCCCAATGTAAAAGCTTTACAAACTTTCATATGAGTCGAAATCCTTCCTAACTTTTTATTCTAAAAATTATAACAATATAAAATTATTTATATAAAATGAATAAGCATATTTGTCCAAATAAAAAATAACATCTTTAATAAAGAAACATATAATAGTAACTTTTCCATCTATCATGCATATTCATACGCAGACTTAGAACCTCCAGTGTGAATAGACATCCCCGATCCTAGACCATTCACCTCACTTTTATCCGCCCTCACACATAACTTGTATGAAAACCCGTATAACGACAAATCGACCTTAACCTAGATTTGCAAGATTTAGGTGTTCGACACTCAATTTTTTGTTGTATGTGATAAAGATTGATGACATAAACCAACTTATCTTTTGAAAGAAAGACATATCTCAAATGTTGTACATTGTTTGAGGATAACCAGACGAGTTATCCATTTGACCAAGATGTCGTGGGCGCATAGGAAAGAAACCACATGCGTGGCTCAAAGTCGGCTCTTTGTGTGCTACCTAAATGCATATATGCAAGACTTCCAATATCAAGATAATGTGATTAATCACATTATCTGAGTTGTTGAAGATGCTCACAAAACTACATCTTGGAAATATGAACAAGTGCTCCTCATTTAGAAAGGGTAGTTCGTCTCCAGAATCATCATTGTGCGTGCTGATTTGGTCATCTACATTATCGTCATTACAAAATTGACTTGTTTGGTTCGAAAAATCACATGTCATCCAACCTAGGGTCCACACCATAATAAATCGCAGTTTGATCATCAGCAGCCTCAATAAATGAACTAGGCATGTTCCAGTATGTGTAAATGAACTAGGCTTGCTTGGTGAAAAGAGTTTCCTACTTGATATGAATATGAGGCCCTGTGGGAAAATGCAGAACTACCAAAATCAAAATGACCCTCACATACACCATAGGACGCCATCTATATGTTACTATTCGAATCATATGCAAAATATGTTCGAATATTGATAAATTATATAAGGTTGATATTGCATAAGTCTAAGTATAACGTTAAAATAAACAATCATAGCAGTGCATAAATTATGCGAAATTTTTTCGTAGAGTATGCAATTCAATATATGGATCGACAAAAATATGGCGAATAGTCATGAATTATGCGTCTTTCATAAAATATGTGATTCGTGATTATGCGAATATAGTACGCATAATCATTAATTATACGGCGTTATGGATTTAGATACGCGAGTCGCGAACTATGTGAAAGAACGTCGCATGATTAGGTGTGTGCAAAATTCGACTGAAATCGACCGGACCGACCGAAGCCGACAATTTCGGTTCGGTTTTTGTCCGACTCGGTCGGTAGTCGGTTTTCAATTTGTAACTTTTCGGTTATTTCGGTCGGTGTCGTTTTTCGGACACAAAATGTCCGAAATAACCGAACCGACCGAATAATATATATATAAAATCATATTATATATTATAATATAATATTAATATATAAATTTATAATATAATATTAATATATAAATTTATAATATAATATAATATAGTATATAAATTTATAATATAACATTAATATATAAATTTATAATATAATATTAATATATAAATTTATAATATTATAAAAAATATATATATATTTTTAAAAAAGTCGGTTAACCGACCGAATAATTCGGTTCGGTTAAACTTCAGTTTTAGGCACTTAATTCGGTCGGTTCAGTTTCTAAAATTTAACAATTCAGTTAATTTGGTTTTTGTAGTTCGGTTCGATCGATCGACCGAACCGACCGATGAACACCCCTACGCATGGTCATAAAATATGCGATGATCAATTTTGATGGGTCTCCTCTCAGATCTAGAGTAAATCAATGGAAACAAGCTCAGATCTGAAATGAACCGGTGGAATGAGCTCAGATCTGACTCGATCGCCTTCAAACCGTTGCTGGACTGCGAGAATACCTGCAAGAACTCAACGCCGGAGGGGTTTCCGGCGTAGAGCCTTCGACGCTCAAGTCAATATGTGAAAGAGATGAAGATAGCTGCTCTCCAGAGAGCAGCAGCAGTAATGGGGGAGAGTATGAATGAAAATGGGAGTTAGGGTTTTGGGGTTACCTCAACTCCTTTATATAGAAGCAAGACATTTACCTGAAGTCCCCAAAATGCCCCGGCCGACTTACTGAAAATGTCCAAAATGCCGTGGTCGGTTTGCATTCCGTCCATCTCCTAGTCAGCATTTAGATTCTTTCTTATCCTTAATAGCTTCCTTCTTATCCTTGATAGCTTTCCTACGATATGTTGAAGTGTATCGGAATCGTCGGGGATATATGAGCCTCGGGACTTCCTCAGTCGACTCGGGATACCAACTCGAGTCGACTGGGTCATCTTCAATCGTCAGTAGACCCTGACAGACCCTGACGCACTTGTCCGTCTTTCCGGGGGGGATCGACTTATTCTAGTCGACACGTGGAAGTCGACTGAGAGATGCCTGGACCCCTGACCGGAGATATTATAGGGAGTCTGCGGAGAGAGTCGATTTTGACTAAGTCGACTCGGTAATCTCTGAACCGTTGATAGTATAAATCGTTATATGATAGTATGGCTATATCAAATTTGGATATGCAATTTTTAACGCACATGTGAATTATACGATGGATTAGATATACGATTGCAAACTATGCAAAAATAATTTGCATATTTATTAACTATGCGTCCGATTTGGATATGTGAATAGTAAACTATGCGAAAATATTTATCATAATTATAAATATGCGACTATCAACTTGGATATGCGGCAACTATATATATATATATATATATATATATGCAAAAAAAAATCGCATAATCTTAATTTGGATAATCATAATTAGAGATGTTAAATGGTCCTTGGCCCGATGGGCCAGCCCGTTTAGTCCGGGAAAAAACAGGGTTAGGGCTTTTTATTGGTAGCCCGTTTAAATCAGGGTTTTTTAGGCCCGGATCGTTTAAACCGAAGCCCGTTAGGGCTAGCCCGAAACCCGCTAAGGCTGGCCCGTTTAACTTGAGTTGGGCATTGTAAATATTTGCAGCAAGTAAATAATATACTCTTAGATTCATTGTATATTACAATTTTGCTATTCCACTTCACATATAAGTATGAGATGTAACGGATTATATTGATTTTGAAAGATAATTATTAACAATATTCTTATTTTACTCCACACCAAAATATTTAACTCAATCAGAACGACTAATAGGAAACAAATGAGACAAAGACCTAACACATGAAACATAATGATAGAATTTATAGTGATATAATATCGTAAAAATTTCCAAAGCGTACAAAATAAGTAGTGAAATGGCAATTATAAGTAATAATTCGAATATTTTTTTCTTTTGAAAAAAAAATATTATTTAAGAGTTTGTAATATGTGTTCATATATGATGTGTAGTTGTATATATAGAGCGGCAAATACTAAATACCGTTGAAAACAATCGTTAATTAGTCGTTGTAATTTTTTATAATTTTTTTCTTTTTATTTTTGATATTTTTTGATACATTATTATTATTATTACTATTATTAATATTATTATTAAAGCCCGCTTAGCCCGTTTAGCCTGAAGCCCGCTAGGGTTAGGGTTAGGTCCTTTTATGGTAGCCCGTTTAAATTTGGGCTTTTTAGGCCCGGACCGTTTAGCCCGAAACCCGATAGGTCTAGACCGTAACCGCTAGGGCTAGCCCGTTTAACATCTCTAATCATAATTATGCAATTTGTGAATACGAAAATATATTACGCATAATCGTTAATTATACGGTTGTAGCTTTTGATATGCGAGATGCAAGCTATGCGACAAACATTTGGCATAATCCTAAAAAATGTAGCATTCGATTTGGATATACGAAATTTCTCTACCATATGGTAAATATTATGCGTTGTACTTGAATTTTTGATTACATAATATACGCAGGTGTTTCGCATACTTGTTAACTATGCGTCCGATTTGGATATGCGAGTCGTGAAACATGCGAAAACATGTCGCATAATGATAAATAAGCGACTATCAACTTGAACATGCGATAACTATATATGTGAAATAATTTAGCATATTAAAAATTTTGCGGTGGACTTAATTAGATATCCGATTAAAAAAATATGCGAATGTGTTTCACAGTATTATTAACTAAACGTTCGATTTGGATATGCGTTGATATATATACAACGTAATCTCGCATAATTGTTAATTATGCGGCTCATTTGGATGATACGATTTTCATATCATATATAATTTCCTGAGTTGTGAAGTGAAAAAAGATATTTTTATATGAAAGTGTATAAAAAAAAAGAAAGAAAATGCAAGTATATATTGGGGCGTGAAAGATGTCGACCCTACCAATAATTCCCATTTGACACTACACTTCTAAAAATAACTTCCACAGTAGTACTTCATTTTACTAAGGCGTGATTGGATATGAAAATTTCTAACTCATTTCTCCATCGTCGGCTTACAGAAAAAGTCAAAGAAATGAAAATTAAAGCATGTTGTAGCCTTGTATCGTATGGTGCTAACATTCACTCCATCTCCAAATTTGCCGGTTAGTATTTCAACACAAAATAATTAAAAAAAATAGTTACAAAGAAAAACGGGTGGTATGTGAGCAGAGAATGAGGAAAAGCTGACCGTCAAACTTTAGAAATTAAGAAAAAGGACAAACTTTTAGAATAGAATAAACCCCAAAAAATGCAAGTGGTAAGGACCGATGAATAATTATAATATAGTTTAATTAATTATTACCCCACACAATAAAAGTCTAAACCTACCATGCCCAACTAATAAAGCCAATAATAAATAAATAGAAAATGTTACGATCCCGTTACGATACCATCTCGTCTAGTGTTTTAACCATTGAATTCACGTGTAGTTAGATAAGATAGATGATCCAACTATTAAAGCACCTACCTACGGAATAATATCGTAGCATTTCCCCAAAATAAATACATAGAAAAACAAAAAAGGAGAAGGCATCCCAAGCAAAAGACATTATTGATTGGTGAAAGAAAAACAAAAAGATATACTGAAGACAAAAGAAGCCACACCAACACGTGCCGATCTCGCGCGTGATCTTATCCTCATTTCACAGGAAAATAGAGAAAACAAAAGGTGTTATCAAAGCCTTTGATTTGATTCCTCGGTCGTCGTCAGCGGGGCAAGGCCCGGCGGAGCTCCTGCGCGAGGAGGTTGGGGGCGGAGAGGTGGGGGAGGTGGCCCTCGATGTCGAGCATGTGCACGGTGGTCCGGCCGCCGAGGTTTTCCTTGAGGTAGGCCGCCATGGACTCCGGCACGGAGTGGTCCTTGGAGGTCTGGAGGACGGAGCAGGGGACGGTGACGAGGCCGAGCACCCCCCGGAGGTCGCTGTTGAACACCATCCTCGACACGAAGAGCGTGATGTCCGGCCGCATGTTGAACAGCGTCCGGCTGAACTCGC